GGACTGACCCGCCGCAAAGGGGCATCAACGCAGGCTCGGTGAATGATCTCAACGACCTGACGGACGCCGTTACGGCGTCGAGGCTCACTTTTGATGACATTATTGAGAATGTCTATGACTTTCAATATGCAGAGGAAGCTGTACAGCGTATCTGGGAAGGCAGACAGATTGGGAAGCTGGTACTTCAGATCACCTAAGGAGACGGCGCCGTAAGCTATATACACGCAATGGGCTGGGGACCGGGCTCTTCACTTATGTCTATTCAATGTCAGACGTATGTTGCATACTAAGGTTATTGCAGGCCTCAGGGTGGCTGAGGCTACTAGCCCTGTGGCTAGGCGTGGAATAAGAAGCCCCGATTGGATCTCGTGTACAAGGGCGCACCGAGGGAAGAAGTTTCGTAACTAAAGAATATTTCTAAGAAGATTAATATAGTTATTAAGGATTTTATATTTATAGCGACTTAATAGCACCTTTGGTTGTGTGGGGCACCGGGTCGGGTTCGATGCCGCCCAACGTCGTCCGCCTTGTCTATATAGCTGGGCCGACATAGGCTTGCCGGAGCCCACGCGAGCGCTTCGCGAGGTTGAGCACAAGCGCGTTGGGGGAAGCTCCGTCGGAACCGCACTCATGTGCCTGAAACGTGAAGCCGTGCCGTCTGAACCCGGGAACTAGTTGCTGCCGAGAAGGGACTTATCGGAATAGCAAAAGTGGTGTTTGAGATGACGCTATCCGTAGATACCGGAGACATGTTGGAACATATCTCGGTGGTCTGCGTTCCCGCTGGGTCTGTGAGGCCGGTTTTAGCAACCAGTATCTACATCGTAGTGTACAGTAAATCGCCGCCCGACTAGGACCCCTGAAGCTGCCCATGGCATGATGCAACCGGGGGGCGCAAAATGACTGACTGCAGTGTACCTATCAGCCTCCACGTATCCGTACGGAGTACAGGCATGAAGAAGAAGACGGCTCTATGCTAGTCTAGTGTGGTGGATCTGAGCTTGGTTCCAGTTCTCTGTGATCGTATTGCTTGAAGTAGTAGGCCAGAATTCGAGTACGTAGCCCGCGGTCAGGAACAATGCCTGAACTTCATTGGTGCCGGAGCGCCTTCGAAGGTGCCACGAAGCCCAGGGTGCTGGAACTCACTCTCCACCCCTGTACTGGCCAGCTCGAAGCTTGGGGGCCAACGCAGATCGAAGCTTGAAGCCCTTAAGTCAGACCTAGAAGAGAGGGGCCTCCGGACCAGCATCGGCGCAATAGCCTCATTGTCTCCGCTGGCCCAAGTCCAACGGTCGGCCGGTGATGAGCGGGGCGTCGGATGCGATCTGGCTGCCCCATCAACGAAAACAAGGCTCCGGGATATCAAGCCTACGTGCCTGAGCTAGTTTCCCCAGTGCATTAGGATACATCTACTGCAGCAAGCTAATGTACAGGGCTAGCTAGACTGAGCTGTGCCTTCGTGTTACTACAGTACACCCCCTGAATGTTTGTGCGTGTGTGTGAAGGGGGGGGTCTCCTTACCCCGGTCTCGTACCTGCTTAGCAAATATGCGGGCTTTAGCTGTTTGATTGGTTTGATTGGTTTATCAAATAATCAAACGAGCGGCAGCCTACAGATTGATTGATTGAAGGCCTCAAAATGCCTGATCTCTTGACTGTTGGTTGCGAACGAAGAAGATGGACTGATTAGCCCGGAGCCCTGTTTGTGAGGCTGCGTAGGGGGTTGGGATAAGTAGGGCTTTGGGCAGGGGGTCTTGAACAGGTGAGGCTGCCTTGCATTGTTAGCCGGCATGCGTGATCGAATATCACTTTCAAAGTTCCAATGGCCTCAATTTGCCATTTGTAGTGTAGTTCACAGCAGTCATAGTTCGTCTGCTTAATGACAAGTTGGTTCACTACAACAACACCGAGTTGACAACAAATAAAGAGAAGAATCAAAATACTCAATTAATCAAAAATGTCTGATCGTGGAAGGGGACCTTATCCAGGTCATGGACGTGGCGGAGATCGAGGAGGTCATGGCCATTTCCAAGGCAGCTTCTCGGGCTTCAGCCGTGGCCGTGGCCGTGGCCTTGGCCGTGGAGGGGTGGAGGCTTCTCCAGCGGTCCATCAATCTACTCGTGTGTTCTGACTCCAAGGGTACTCAAAGCACCGGGTACATTGCGCTGATAAGCGTGTCGAGGGCGCCCAATGGAGTCATCCCTACTGTCGAACTTTCTGTTCCCATCGTGATTTCTTTCATCAACCTCGGCAGCCGTCAGCACAAGTTCCAGCAGTCCCTTGTCTCTGAGTTGATGACCGATGTTTTGCTAAACAATGAACAGGTTGTCTGGATGTATGCTCTTCCCGCCAACATGCGCATGACGAGATCTCATGATACCCAGAAGTGGTGGGTGGGGGAACAAGCTGGGAAGAAGTGGCCGGAGGTTGTTGGCACAGTCCCCAAGAGAAGACCACCTTGAACATGGCCGTCCACTTGTGTCCGCCATCGCTTCCATCACCCATAGCCGGACTAGGGTTGCGAGCTGGTTCCAACAAACGACGCATCAAATACCACAGATAAGGTAGATGCATTGAAGACATTCTGCGCAAGTGCCGCAACTAGCAATACCTGATGGATCGCAGGTCGCCCCCAATTGTGGGCGGCGGGCAATCGAGGAGTTGTAATAAACCTGCTGATCCCCACGGTATTCTCGCGATCTCCGCAGCTGACGTTATCTCGAGACGAAGAAGACCCATCCCTCCCAAAGAACCCTCCTCGAGGCACTTAAGAACAGGAGCGAGTGCAGAGCTGAAGTCGCGGAGAACATAGCCATGAGTACTGTTTAATTAGTATAGCAGGAGCTCAAAATCTTCATCCTTTGGTGCAAGGAGGCTATAGAGTGGTTAGTGGAGGAGTCTGAGCGAGAAGGAGGGCTGACAACGAACACTGTGTCTGAGATCTCAGTCGATACTGAGCCGTCAAGATCGTTATCACTAGTTTGTATAAAACCTATTATCCCAAATCCAAACATATCTTTCAGCCTGTTGAGTCGTCTTCCGAGCTTCTGCATCTTTTTGATCTTTTCAAATACTTGGCGGTACTCAGTCGAGTCAGAAGGCAAGGCAGGATAGATGAGCTTGAGAAGTGCCCTACTGCTGGCATTCTTCGCTAGGTTTTGAGGGTTGCCAGGGCGTCTGCTGAGGACATGCTGCGGACCTTCCTGCACAAGCCAGTCCGAAACACAGGCGCAATGCTCCTCCCACAATTTGAGAACATGGAGCCTTCTGAGGAGCATGAGAGAAGTCCTCTGTTGATCTGCTGCCTCAATGGCCGCAAATCTACCAGAGGCTGTCAAGGGCATTCCGGGTATTGGTACAGAGCTGCTTTGCCCATCTCGCAGCGTTGACAGCACTGCCCGGAGTGCCACAAACGAGTTGGGGCTACCGACGCCGAATATAAGCTTCAACGGAACATCACCACAGTTATGAATGAGATGACATAGAGATGTATCGTCGGCCCTGTGCATCTGGCGAAGACTGAGCCCAAGGTGAAGAACTGGCGTTTCGTCTTTGTCACATAAATAGTTTCTGAGCAATGTACTCGGGTCGGCGTGGGCACTTTTCTTTCGTGGCCTGCTGGTCGGACGAGCGAGAGAGGCTTGCGTGGCATTGTGACTCAGAACTTGTTGAGAATAATCTGGCGCATCCATTTGCGTTCCAAGGCACGAAAAAAATGAGTCGGAAATTACCGAAGTAGCAAGTAGTCCGAGCGAGGCTTTTTGAGAATTCTCGTGTTGTGGCAACGCTGGGGTCGCCGAAGAGCCAAGAGAAGTCTTGAGCGCCGGTAGCATGTCGAATACGGATCGATCCGTGTTATGTATTACATCCATCGGCTTGATGATCGTTTCGCCAAGAGCAGTGCGCGTCTCGCAGGTAGGCCTAGACTTTGTTAGGAACAGTCGGTCACCTCTGCAGGGTACGCAACTTGAAACGTTGCATCACGCTCATCAGTGTTGACATAGATCCGCAATCTGTCCAGACCGCACCTAGAATGGCTCTCATTGCCTTGCGAATAACAGACTGTGATGCCAGTCCCGATCTCTCGCATAGTTTGAGACATTTCACTATGCCGAGGGCCTCGGCAGCATTCGCGTGCTGACTTTTGCCGTCGAAGAGTTTTTGCAGCTCCGCCATATCTTCTACTTTCAGTTAGCAAATGCCTGATTCAAGGACTGATCTTTCTCTTTACCAAGGGTGGCGGAGTCTTGGAAGCCAGTAGTAGCGACTGCTAACTGAATAGCTGCTTGTCCTACCCACGCCAACTTTCTATTCCCATCGTGATTTCTTTCATCAGCCCCGGCAGCCGTCAGCGCAAGTTCTAGCAGTTCCTTGTCTCTGAATTGATGGCCGATGTTTTGCTGAACAATGCACAGGTTGTCTGGCACCAGCATGATGAGTAATGTGAGGCTCTGGGATGTTTTCGGACTGGTTTGGGCGTAGAAACAAAAAAGGAGAGCGAGTACCCGCGCCGTGTTTTCTTTCTCTGCAGGTACGGTATAGTTAATCAACGAGCCAGGTGTTGCGATAAGGTGTAATGTCCCCCTGGTTCGATTTGATATTCGCAGTACTGGAGCTGGTCTTACTTACATCGAGGCAACGGTTGGGACATGCGCTATGCCTCCGCCGTGTTTCACTCTGTCCTCGATCACTCTTCGTGTGCTGTGCGAAACAGCGCAATGTCTTCGTAAGTTCTATTCTCATTTGAATGACCTGCAACGGCCAATGCTCTGGCTCACGTTACATTGACATGAGAAAATTCCATTCCCAGACAATATTGACCATATTGTTCAAACTAAAAGCAAAGTGGGGAGATCTGAAGGCCACGCAGGAAACGTAAGCTATGTGTAGGTGATGCATGCTTTAACCGGACGTGGTAACCACTCGGTCTCGAGGGAAGTGATCAACGTTGTCATTCACCATTGCAAAGGGCCCACAAATCATTTCTTGCTTCTGGTGCGAGTTTGACCCCGCTTCTCTCACACCAATTTGTATCCGAAACCCACACATCACTGCACCCACCAGGACTAGTTTGTTCGTGGCAATGACGTCCTGCTTCGGGCATCCTTTGCCTTGTTCTCGTCAGAGGGGTGAACGAACATTGCTCTGACACACATGCACAAGTGTCCAAGGGCAAACTTCGCTAGACATCGCACTTTCAAGGACTTTTCATGGGCTGCAGGGAGGCCAAAAATACCAGCAGAACAAAATGGAGGCTTGCGAGTTCGCTTTCTCATGTCTCATTTCCACCGATGTCAGGCAGCTCGTTAAGTAAGTGATGCGAGCCGCCGACATACCACACGGCTTCTGGTGGGTCGTCCATTGGTCATCTTTGCTATTTTGTGTCCAACGCTTCCCGATCCTCAACTGGGGAGAGATCCCCGGCTACGCCTCCTATTAGACCCAGCTAGATGTGTAGACCGGACCTCGAAGCGATGTCGAACGACCAAAAGGGTTTCGCGCGGCTGTGGGAGGCCGTTCAACTTCAGGCGACTCCACCATCCCACCTCCCCCCGGTCCCTCTTTCGGGAGAGTTGTTGCTTCTCAAGAAGCATCAGAATATGTGCTTTTTCTCCTCATCACAACAATTTGCGCTCATCTACGAAAGACTGTCCACAATGCCTTCCTCGAGGATGAAGATTCCTGAAACGAAGCTTTTGAGCAAATCAACGCAGGGAAAGAAGCATCGCATTGGAGTGCGCACCTCGAACTAGTACAGCACAACTATCCACAACTGCAGCAAACGGCCCAACAATGCAGTTTCTGGTACGGAAAATATCGGTGAACGCCCGAGATCAAACAAGATCTCATTCCATTAATATTGCCCCCACCTAGCCAGCTCCTCAGCTATTCATACAATTGTCAAAGCATAGAATACCTCTACTCCACTCGATTGTGACCCGAACAACTACTCGAAAGACCCTTGATCTATCCATCTGTGGCTAGATCAGACCCGAACGTCACACTCGTACTGTCCCAGAGCAAAGACATAATGTGTGATAATACGGCGAATATGCTTTTGTCCCTACCACGCACTGTCGTGTAAAGCAGTACTTCCTCGATTTCATCCTTAGACTCGCGCATGCAGATCCCATAGTGGGCTTCGACGTCCTTACCCTCGCCGCTAAACCAAATCCAGGCATTACTGAAGGGTGGAAGTGTAACCACCATATTGAGCGTAGCGCCCCGAGACCCAGGCATGTCTTAGCTTTCGGCGAGCCATTGGCTTTGCTACGCGTGTATGTCCTGTTGCTGCATCCGAGAGATCTTCCAAACGTTGTACCCATTGGCTATCGCAGAGGAAGATCCACCTCTCCAAGAACTAGCATTAACCTAGCAGAAGAGCTATTCTCAAAGAGTGGGTTACGTGCTCCTGTGCTGGTAAAGTGCATCCAGCAGCTCCAGAACACTCATCGAACGTGATAAATTTCTCGTCAGAACCTAAGAGGTCCAATCGTGTATACCAACATTCCAGCCAGGACGTGTGGGGACCAGCCAGTGTGCTCGCGATAAGGGGCTGTTGGAATTGGTCGTACCTGATGCTTCAGCCTGAATGGTTGCGTGGTCGAGTCTAAAACAACTTTGTTTTGAGCACTCCTCTGAATTTGTTATAAGTACCCTTACTCCCACAACGCTCGAGGCTGTTCATTGCAGCAAACCAACCTCGTTTACGATCCCGTCTTTCCAAACACCAACAGACAGTGTGAGACGATGGCTTCCACTTCAACAGCTACCGGGACTCCAGACAGCGTGCTTTACATGGTTCATCACATGTTCTTGCCACCCAAGGTCCCAGTCAAGAGCGACTACACCCCCCAGAATGAGCATTTCTTGTTGTGCACGACACTGGAGAGCCTTGAGGCCTTCCGCAGCATGAACCCGGATCGCCGACATGGCACCATTGATACCGCTATCACAATGCTTCGAAGGATGCAGGACACCCATGTGTCTGCGGCTGGTCAATACGTGGTTGACAAATCTGCTCTCGTGCGCGCTATCAGACAACTCGATAACCATGGTATGTATGTCAGTGCTGTCTCGTCTCAAACGTCTTTTGGGTAACGTCTCCTGCGTAGGTGGATCAATTATGCTCCACGTGTCTGCACAAAACGCAGGAATTTTGCTCAGCGCTGCGGAAGACGACATCCTCGTGGAAGTCTTCGAGGTGTCTCCCGTCAACCAGCACGTCATCTCGACAAAAGGCAGGCTCCGGCGCGCTTTTCCGGCCTCGGGCGTATGTCTTCAGCATGATGTCCTCCAAGACCCTTCTTTTCGCGAGGCGTTTGCGTCCACTGTGGCCAAGATGAGCCAGCAGCGAGTGAAGGGCACGCAGCCAAAGGCAAAGAAGGCTGCTCACATGCACGACGAGGATCGTGATACGACGCACCCCAGAATGGTCACTGAGTTTCTTATCTCCGTTCTCGCTCCACTTGGACGAACTGCCACGACATCGCCGATCTGGAAAAACACCCGAGACGAAGTTTTATACTACAGCAGCCTCCAACCCTGGAGAAGATCGCCCCTTTGGCTGGTCATCCGCGTCGCTCTGCAATTGGTCTTCTCGCGATTCCATCCGGAAAGGCCAGGAGACTCCTATAAAGAGTTCATGATCTTCGCCATGGCAAAGATCCTATCAAAGACGCATCATTACGAGTTCCATAGTGAACTTCTCCTGGCAATGAGCTCCAAGATACGCCAGCGACTACTCAAAATCGACCGCGTGAGTAACGCTATACGGGATTTTGCACGAGTTGTGCTGGTCAAGACAGACCGAATCCTGGAGGACAGATGGAGTCGAATCCAAGGTTTGGATTCGCTCAGCCCTCCGCCGTCTGAATTGATTGGCCAGAATATCATTAAAGACACCTTGGGTTGCATGAGCAGGCTTGATGAGTTCATTGACAGTCTCGGTACGAGACGCCTCGATCAGAGTCGTATTGATTTAGAGCCTGGCTTCAAACTGAAGAAGGGTGATAATCATGCACTGCCCTCACTCCACGCTACATCTGGTGATCAGTTGACCTTCGAGCTCATGGCTTTCGAGACGTGGGTAGCTTCGAGCTTTAGCTCCTGGCTCGACACCCATCGCTCCGATGCAGCCACAATTGGACGGTTGAGGGAGCTAATTGAAAGATATCACAACCTGGCCGAGCCTGAGTATGACTCGGATCCGGAGTCTACTTCCTTGATGATTCTCACTATCCTTGAATTATGGGTTGGGTGCGACGAGGCGTCTCTCTCGGCAATTCCGCTCCTGAGAGACTACGATCCCGGAATTCCGAGTGAGCTGTTTCAGAACCTCCTGCTGCCTTTTAGACATCAGATGAGAAGGCTGTCCACCATAGAGGAGTATCTGGTGGACCGTGCTGTTCGGTCCATCCACCCGTCAGCCGACGTGCTAGGGGCGTTCGGCACGCAAAACTGCTTTTCAGCAAGGTACTACCAGCTCTCTTCAGAACATCAGGAACTGAAGGCAAGGATAGAAAGCTGGGCAGCGCAGTGCCGCGAGACAAAAGAAGCCGAGTTTCAGAACAAGAAAGCCCAGTGCCGCAGCCTGATGAGTCAATATGAGTCCACCAACTGCCAGATGGTCACAGAATGGTCGGAATGGGACGATTGCTATATCGAGAAGCACTATGGAAGCAGGTGCACAAGATGCGGCTACCTGCGGGAAGCCGAAGCGATGAACATACACATACATGAATGGCCCCTACCGCCCATTCCCCTGGAGGCGTCTTCGACTGTCTTTGAGCTCCTGGTCCCGCCTTCCTTTGGTCACTGGCGCGATGTGACTGTCTTCCTACAGTCAGAAGTGCTAGGGTCCGCATACCGCTCGTACGAAGTCCCTCGAAGCGAGCATACCCCTGCCAGCTATGAAGCTTTATCGGCGTTCTTTAGACCGTTTGGGGCAGGCCAGCGGATCATGGCGCTTTCTGAGAACAAGCCGCACGCAGTAACGCATCGTAAGGCGAAGAGAGTGGGGAGGGTCACGGAGCGGGACGTGTGTCTCCAGAACGCTCTACACTACCGCTACTACGACCGGCGAGCCGGCTCTTTTGTCCAGAACCTCTGCTCGGGAGAAAAAGTCCAGGAGAAGTGCACTTACAAGCTTCACACAGAGTCATCCTCGCTGCAGAAGTTCCTGCGTCGAGGACCAGGCCATCCCAGTGGACCGTCACCCAATACGGTCATAGCAAGCCAATCAACGTGCCCTCAGGGTATGCCTCTTGGGGACTTCAAGGCTCTTTGCTCTATCCCGCTAGGCTACAGTATCCAGTGGCAAAACATTCTCGTCCAGCTTCAAGCCCCTTCGATGAATCTGAACACCACCGAGGCCACCTATACACTCCTCCAGTGTGCCCACCAGGCGGGACCGCGCGGGAATTGCGGCGTCCTCCGAGAGAGTCACGCGGTCATTCATGATGCCAGAATAATTGATGCTCTCCTTATTGGGCTTAGTGGGACTCTGAGAGGCATTCAAGACAACTGGCAGGCCAGCCATACACTGTTCACGCTGATATCATTGGCATGCCGGATTCATACTTTGACCGAGGACGCACATTGGCGGGAAAGATGTCTAGGTTTTCTCAAGCGCGCCCGGCAAATCAGCATGCACTGGATTGAAGACCTCTGCGAGAAGTTATATGTGTCCACCAACGACATGGAGAGGGCGGATTTGTGTGACAGGGTCCTCACTAATGCTCTCATTTGCTCTGCATCATTCTATCACGACTCTTCGACCTTACAGGGGCTCCTCAGCACACCAAGGGAGACGTACGACTTTTTGCGGTGCTCTGTCTTGATTCAGGAAACCAAGAGCTCGGCGAGGCACACCGGAGGCTTGACTGACCTGCTATACAGACGATGGCAGCGCCTCTCATATCGTACCTACCCCTTACTGGCAGAAATGATTGTCGACCAGGCCGATGAGTCCCTGGATCGTGTTGTAAACAGGCAATGGCCAGCGTATCAAGCCTTTTCAAGTTGGAAACGGGTATCTTCCACATATGACAACTGGCTGACGATTGACGCCGCGACGGTGGGGGCGAAAGAGCTCCTCATAGTCCATTTCAACCTTCTCGACGGCGAGCTCCTCGTCAACGGTGTGCCACTGAGCCGCCTACCTGGCGAATACGAAAACCACATCATGTACCGTGTGCTTTTTGGACAGACCGCCATTGAAGTCATGCCCACGACCGTACCGGGAATGCGATTCTCGGCGAAGAACGGGATTGCTGGGTACGCGTTGCATTTCGGAATGTCCAGAGGATCTGAGCTTCTTGTACAAGCTCAAAATAACAACAATCAGATATATGAGCTCGTCCCGCGCCATCATCTTGAGAATTGCTTCCCAGTCGCGCTCATCGAGGAATACGTTCATTGGTATAACGTAGAGAGCGATACGGTGGTCTTTTGCCAACATCAGAACCCCTGGAACTTATCTTCTGCAAGATGGATTCTGAGAAGGACTGGGACTGAGGGGCATTGGTATTTGGACGTCAACGGACGACGCCTAGTTGATGTCAGAAGCACTATGGCAGGAATCATCGCGAACGTATTGAAGCCCCTTGAGGACCGCTTCTATATCCACTGCATGTATGACTCGACAAGCGATCTGCTTGAGATTGAGCTTCCCAGATTACAACTTGGGTTCTACATGTACCCAACTGACGGACGAATCTACTCCCGACAGTATCGCGGCATGTTCATCGACGAAGACCAGCTAATCGGAAGTTTGGTTGGTCTCCGCAGCAAGCTCGTTCTTCAGCAAGGGGGCAACGTATGTTCCAAAATGGTCTTGATTCCCCACGGAACATTGACCTATGAAAAATCCGGAGAGCATGTGCTCGTACATATCGACAAGGCTTCAGCCACCAGGGCATATGCGTACCGCGTAGGGGGCCAGCCTAGGAGGCTTGTCAGTGATGGGAGTCTACTCTCCAGGCTATGGATTTGCTATTTGCATGCGCTGACTTCATTCTGTCTGCCGGACACCCTGACCGGTAGGACAGGAACTGAGGAAGCATTGTCTATCTTAGGCTCAGCGGCTGTGAAGTCATTCGGCACCTTGACCAGGGAGAGCATGGGGATTCTTGTCATGATTTCCCACTTGACTCCCCGAAGGCGGTACTATCCAGCCCACGAGCGGGTGATGCAAGTAGTCGAGTGGGATTCCGTACTAGGCTTCCTGTCTCAACACGGAGGATTCCATCCGGCAGTCCAAAACCTGCTGTACAGACACACTCGGCATCGTCTCTTCCAGCGAGACGCATACGTCCAGCCACCGGAGCTGAAAGGCGTCGACCATCACCTTTTGGCAAGGGATGACATCCGCTCGTCGACATTCCGAGTTGCGCAGTTTGGCGCCGAGAAGTATTCCATGCTCTATGACATGGTCTATCCTGCCCGAGACCAGTGGAAGGGCTCAGAGTCCTCAAACCGTGCAGCTGCAATATCCAAGATCATGTATTCTACGGAGGTGAGACCACTATTCAATGTGCCACAAGAGTTAGACGCTCACATCTGGCGCTTTTTGGCGAAGCACGAAGTCATGGAAAGTGGTTCTCAGCCTCTAGACGTATCCGGACCCGGTTACGATGCTCGATGGCTCTCAGGAGGCGGCAGCTACATTGCCCAGAACTTTATCAAACTTCACCTCCTGATCAGCAGGCAGCGTGAATCGGTCAACAAGTTCAGATTGACCATGTGGCTGTCTTCGCTCGCCTACGCGGCGGATGCTGACATGCCGATGCTCTACGTTCTTTCAACATTCCGCCTTCCCTCCATGGAACGCGTAGTTCCCCCGGAAGCTCAAGGATTCAAGTTATCTAGAGGGGATTGCGTCAGCCCCTCTGAGCTGGGTCACGCGGTGCAGCAACACTGCGTTTCTCTTCATCAGTCTCCCGAGGCTTCTGTCCCTCAAATCCACGGCGAAAAGAGGAGAAGGCATTCCCAGAGGCAGCAAGAGCTATTTAGGCAAAATCAAAAGGCGCCCCGTAAAAGACTTGTCGGCGCGCTGGCCAGTCAATGGCCATGTAGGACGCTGGACCGGAGCATAATGGAGGCCAAACAGGACGGTTGGTCTCAATACTACCACACGGGCAACGCAGTGGCTGCAGCTGAGTCTCTGTTCAAGACATGGGACGACAATCGGCTTCTGAGACAGTACATCAATGAGCTTGTTAGCCTCGTGTCTCTCTCCAGTCATCAGTGGCACATGGAGCCGCCGAGTCTCCCGTTATCTAATTCGGACAGCCATCGCACCCGGCGTTTTGTGACCGTCGATGACTTATTCACAGGTCCGGCTCCCGAACCGAGACACATGGTGCACCCTGACATGGCGTGTCTTCTGGAGCAGAAGGAGGATACCCTCGATACCAGAAGCAGACTGTTGCGTCTCATTGCGGATCTAGAATCCGAGGCCAGTTCGACCTACGAGCAGCTCTACGTCGCATCGTTGAGAACCAGTCTTCAATCCTTTGGAGAGGGGAACAAAATCTTCGAACTCAGGGAACCAGTCGTAGCCATACGATCTCTTCTAAAAAACCAGCAGATATCACATCGGGATCATGTAGATCGCGTCTATTCTGGACTGCTGGATGCAGTGGGATTCTCGGCGGACGAAGTGGGCGGCCGCATGAAACAGTGGCCGAGGCTCTCCCCGGCATTGTTCCTACAGCAACTTTCTCGGACGAGGTGGCACGGGCTCTCGGAAGGCTGGAAGAGGTCTATCGTACAATATGCTCTCGCCCTCAGTTTCCTGCAGCAGACCGAACGACGCCTCAGCATGTGCGGTAACGTGCCGGACCTGATCAAGGATCTTAGCAACACCGGCCATACGAATTGGGACCCCTATGGACATCCCGAGACGCTTCTTCTCGAGATCGAGAGCGGTATAACCGTCCGCGAGGTCCAGGAGCAGATTTCCCAGAGTATGAGGGCTACGCCGGCCGGTCGCAACGAGGTCATGCAGCTCAATATGGGAGAGGGCAAGTCCTCGGTAATTGTGCCGATGATCGCCACGGCCCTGGCGGACGGGCACCGTCTCGTGCGAGTAATTGTCGGGAAGCCACAAGCGAACCAGATGCTCGAGATGTTAATTTCCAAGCTCGGGGGCTTGGTAAACAGGCCGATCTTCCAGTTACCATTCTCCCGTGACGTTCAGCCTGAGGCTTCGGATGTGGCTGGGATACAGAGTATTTTCGACGACTGCATCGCCGAAGGAGGCGTTCTCCTCGTCCAGCCTGAGCATGTCCTATCTTTCAAGCTCATGGCACTTGAGCGAGTAATTGCTGGGAAAGACCAAGTCGGGCGCAGCATGCTCCAATCCCTCGAGTTCCTGAACAAGAAAACGCGGGATATCGTCGATGAAAGCGACGAGAACTTCAGCGTCAAGTTTGAGCTTATATACACCCTGGGCCTGCAACAGCCCATAGATGACAGCCCAAATCGATGGGCATACATTCACGACGTCCTGGACATTCTCAGAATAGCTGTGCCGCTGGTCTATGCGAAGCTTCCTGACTCAATGGAGGTCTCTTCTCGATGCCCTGGGAGCTTTCCACGAACTAGAATTCTGACAGAAGATGCGGAGACGCAGCTCATGCATGTAGTTGCAACTCATATTTGCGACAATGGGCTCTGCGGGTTTTCCGCATCGAGACACACTCCCTCTATTCGAACAGCCGTCTACAAGTACATAACTCATACCGACCTTACAGATACCGACGTCAGCGTGATTGAAAAGAGCAGCTTCTGTTCACACAAATCTAGGAACATCCTGCTCCTGCTACGAGGACTGTTGGCACATCGGGTGTTGGTGTTTGTCTTTGCGCAGAAGAGGTGGAGAGTGGACTACGGACTTGTTCACGACAGACAGCCCCCGACCAGGCTCGCAGTTCCTTACATGGCAGAGGACAGGCCAAGACCACGGTCTGAATTCAGTCATCCGGAGGTGGTGATTCTCTTAACGTGTCTCAGCTATTACTACGGTGGCCTGACGGACGACGATCAATTCGAAGCGTTCCGCCACCTCTGTCGGTCGGACCAAGCGGACATGGAGTACCAGGCGTGGGTGCGCGACGCAAATCACTTACCGAAGTCCTTTCAGCAGCTGAGTGGTTTGAACCTGGAGGATGTGTTCCAGTGCACAGCTCTTGTGTTTCCTTGCTTCCGATATGCGAAGGCCGCTATCGACTATTTCCTCTCTCACATCGTTTTCTGCAAGGAAATGAAAGAGTTCCCGCAAAAACTCACAGCGTCGGGCTGGGATCTCGGTGAGATGAAGAGCCTCCCGACCACTGGTTTCAGCGGGACGAACGACTCTCGCGTTGTCCTTCCCTTGTCAGTGCAACAACTTGACCTGCCGGAACAGAAACATACCAACGCCCTGGTCTTGACTCACATATTGCGGCCGGAAAATACTCTAGTGACGATAGATTCGCAGGTTGATACGTCTTCGATGTCTGATGCGGAGAGGCTGCTGTCCCACGTGGTGTCATTACAGGACCCAGTACGTGTGATCATCGACGTTGGGGCGCAGATCTTGGAGCTCAACAACCTTGAGGTTGCCCAAACGTGGCTGTCAATGCTCCAGGGCGATGAGCGCACAAGAGCAGTGGTGTTTTTCGATGAAAATGACCGCATTTGCGTACTTGACCGGCACGATACCAGTGAGCCACTGCATACATCACCATACGCCGGCCAACTGGACGCTTGCCTTGTGTTCCTGGATGAGGCACACACAAGAGGCACAGATTTGAAGCTGCCCCAGGACTACCGTGCTGCCGTCACTCTGGGAGCAAATCTTACCAAGGATAGGCTTGTTCAAGGTGTGTCCACATATCGGTCTCAGTGCAGAGATAAAGGCTGACAGTATTCACAGCGTGCATGAGAATGAGGGAGCTGGGCAAGGGGCAGTCGGTGACTTTTTGTGTCCCGCACGAGATTGAGATGAAAATCCGATCCCGGAGGATCCGCACCTCTTCTTTGGACGTGGCAGCAATCCTTGAGTGGGCTATTTTCGAGACCTGGCGAGACGCTAGACGAAGCATTCAAGTATGGGCGATGCAGGGCAAGCGGTACCGAGTGCATGAGAGGCTGTGGAGTCATTCCCGCGGTCAGGACGGAAGCAGTGCAATGTCCCAGGAAGAGGCTTGTCGGTTTTTAGAAGACGAGGCACAGACGATTGAGGCGAGATATCGGCTTGTCATGGAGACGAAAGCCGGCCAGGATGATGCGACAGATGATACCATTGTCCTGCGATGCCAGGAGTTTGGAGCCCTGGACCCCCGGCCTGCTATGCTCAGGGAAGAACAAGAGCGCGAACTGTCTCCTGAGACCGAGCGTGAGCGTCAGATCCAGAGGGCGCCGCCGGCCAAACCATTACCGCATCATGTTCATCCCGACATCTTACGATTTGTATCGACGGGCATCCTGTCGGACAAATCGGCAGCAGTTATGCCCGCGCTCATGGCGCTCTCAAAAACAACAGCTGCAGCTCATATGGACTTGTCCCAGTGTCGCTGGGAACTTCTGGTGTCGGCTGATTTTGCCCGGACCATCCAAATCGAAGATATGCCTCCAGTCGGGGCGCAGGACTGCTTTCAGAGGTCGGTGCAATGGATCCTCACGGGCCTGCCGCTCTTATCAACGGGCTTTGTGAAAAGCATGGTTGTAATCAGCCCTTACGAGGCACAAGAGCTATTTCCCGATATCATGAAGTCCGAGACTGTGTGTCTACACCTCTATGCTACACGGCCCAACCTCGGCTACCGCCCGCTGGATTCGTTAGATTTGTACACTGTACCAGACAGGCAGATATCACCGATCCCACAGTCGCTCATCTTGCAGCTCAATTTGTTTGCCGGCCAGCTCTACTTTGACAGCTTCGAAGAGTACACCCGGGTCTCTCGCTTCCTCGGTGTGGGCCCGCAAGGCCAGGACCCACTGCGACAACCGCATGCAGGCCCTACAGACAGGATGGAACTGTCGTGTTTCCAGAAGGATTATGTGGGATTCTTTAAGGTAATGTTCACAAAAGTCAGGCGTGATTGTGAGAGCATAGACAAGACGCATATGGGCAGGTTGCTGAACGACAGGCTTCTGACCGTTGACGATTTCACATCTCTTAGCTGAATTACTGCCGACAGTGGTGGTCGTTCGGGTTGGTTTTATCCTGGCTGCCGTTGTATTGGATTCTATGGCTAGAATTTACGTGCCCCGCCTTGTTCCAAGGTCTTCCACGTCTGGGTCTTATCATTCCTGATGCGTGCGCCTTCGTTGCTGTCTGGTTAAGCCAGGGCAGTGAACATTGACGATCTCATCATTGAGTCACCCAATAAGGGGCCAAGACTAGTGCAAAGTAGTACTTGGCAACTCGTTCGTGGTTTCGCGAGAACTTCAGAGTCTGTTTCCTATAGCTCCTCGTATGTGGGTATGTACTTAAGTGCCGGCAATGCGGGGGCATAGTTGATATAGGATTAAATTCGGTCAAGTAGATCGTAGTGAGAGAAGGTGAGACGGGGTCGTGAGTTGTGAAATTAGAACCTCACCCTACACATGTGGAAGTGGCACGTCTCGTGTGACTGGCGTTAGTGGCTTTTCCCGTACGCAAACTCACCAAGGGACGTCACTGCCAAAGAGAACAGCCTCTACGCAACAAAGGCCACGGCTTTCACATCTCACAGACGATAATTCCACCCGCAGACAGGTTTTGGAATAGTACAGGCATTAGGCTGACATCCCCCAGGAGCCTACAGTATCCAAGATGCAGTGATCCTCATGTGTGGGTGGTGTCAGAGTAAATCAAGGATGTTCCATATTAAGAAAAAGCTTGATATAAAGGCAGAAGATCAAGCCTGGTACGCCTGATCGGGCACAAGTGTCTGTGTCATGTCTCAGCTACTTTGAGTCACTGGTGTCAGCATGATTGGACTGAACGGGTTCACATGTGTTCATTTACACAGTACGTACTCAAGCTGAAATACATGCGCAGCGGGGTATGCACCCCTGTCGCTGTCTGGCATCGTCAGCGCTTTGGCCACCGCAGGAAGTTTAGAGCAAATAGCTCTCAGCAAAGTTGCTCCCTGAGCAGACGTGCCCCAGGCGGGTATTTGAACTTGATCAGGAACGAATGCATGGGCGACAAGAGCATGATCCAAGCAAGGACAGGGAAACACAGTCGAAGTTACTGATAAGCTCTCTCGGGGTAATATCGGCCCGGAGAGAATGAACGGCGTGCAATGCCAGTTGAATGGTACACGCCCCACAGAGCCTACCACTACCCTACACGATTCCACGAGCCTCTTGCCTCATTTCTTTGCACGCTTGATCTCCTTCGCGAAATACACAATCCCTTCGTACTCAAACTCGCACCCTTTGTCGGTTGCTATCCAATAATCCCCTGGTGTTCTGATGGTTTGCCCTGAAACGGTGGTGAACTGCACCTTGCCCTCCTTCGTATAGCGTGCCTTTACTTTCACAATATCCGCCTCTGCCGTGGCGTCATCAATCGCAAGACTAGTCATGCCAGCTACAACGGTCTCCTCCGCCAAACGCGCCGAATCCCACTGGAGTTGATCCACCGACTCCGCTGAATAGGTGCGTCGGTGTGACGAGTGTGCTTGGGTTGTCGAGCGCCTATTTTAACTGAAGCCCTCATCGATGGAAGCGTGCTCTCCGCCGAGGGACAACTGCCGACCAACATGGACTTCCTGAGGGATATGTTCCCGCCCCAAAGCCCTTGTATAAGGGCTCCAACTTTGCGCAATTCCCTCGTCGATGGGGCTCCATTGATCTATCAGCACCCGGCTGAGAATGTGGCGAGTCTTTCTTCAACAGGCGAGACTACCCTCCAACGGGCTCCAACCCTCAATGATTCCCTCATTGACGGTGCAATGGCCGATCTTGGCTCGCACATTGCAACAACGCACAATGAGGTATCTGCTACTGAACAAGGCCCAATCGTTCATTCAACAATCCACAATCCATCTACTTCGGTCACACGAGGCAATGGTCGAGCCGGAGATCCATCCACACCGCTTAAGTCGATTTGCGACCAGCATAGTCTTCGTGGACGCCTTGCAGTCATGGCACATGCCATGGAGTCAGACAGATATGAAACCTTGGCTGACCGAGACGCTTCTCAACAGGCCATACATGCGGCCAGGTCTGACTGAGGTGCGTACAAAGACGTCTGGCTATCCAGACGGCATGATCTATTTTCGTGCGGGAGGAGCAGCCCATGAAGTCTCCTTCCACTAAGCCAATCGGGACAATAAGTCGCTATCCGGACGGCTACGAGGCCTGATCCATGGAGTCTGTGCTGTGGAGTCTGTGCTGTGGAGTCTGTGCTGTGGAGTCTGTGCTGTGGAGTCTGTGCTGTGGAGTCTGTGCTGTGGAGTC